GTCTCCACTTCCTGAGGGTGCTCAGAAGAAACAACTTGGAGGAGAGGCTACTGGTTACCTTCTACAGAGCCGCCATAGAGAGCATCCTGACGTACTGCATCACAGCATGGTACGCAGGGTGCTCAGCTGCAGACAGGAAAGCTCTGCAGAGAGTCATCAACACAGCCCAGAAGATCACTGGCTGCTCTCTGCCCAGCCTGGAGGACATCTCGCCAACTCTCGCTACCTCAGCAGAGCTAGCAACATCATCAAGGACCCGTCCCACCCCAGTAACTCTCTGTTCGACATGTTACCGTCAGGCAGACGGTACAGGTCACACAAAACCAGGTCAAACAGACTCAGAGATAGCTTCTTCTCGAAAGCTATCTCAGCAGTGAACAATAGTAACAAAACCAGTTAAAATAGTCCACACAGTTTCACACTTCACTGATCATATTGGTCACTGTGCAATAAAGAAACAACTATGTGCAATAACTAACTACACCAAAGATATGTTTGTTATATGTTTGATATATTGTTTTCTTCTACTCTTTTTTTTTTTGCACCAAGTGAGTAGCGCTCAAATCTCGTTGTACACTGTACAAGGGCAATAAAGGCTATTCTATTCTATTCTATCTAATCGAATCTGTTCTAATCCACTCCAATCTAATCTGATCTAATCTACTACAATCTAATCTAATCCAATCCAATCTAATCTACTACAATTTCATTTTATCTAATCTACTACAATTAAACCTAATCTAATCCAATGCAATCAAATCTAATCTAACTGTTTTAATGCACTCCATTGCAATATAATCCAATCTAATCTAATATTGTCACGTGCGGGCATCACAGGAAGCAGGCAGGACCCAAATGCAGTACTGGTGAGACTCTTTCTGGTGCAGGTAGTTTTATTTCAAGTGCAAGGCCAAAACAACAAAAAAACTCACTTCTTCACAAGACCAGGAACAAGGCATAAACCAGACAAGGAATAAACTACCAAGTACAAACTAAGAACTCGAAGGACACACTAAGCTGAGCACAGGAACAGATACAATGATCCAACACAATCACAATCACAATGATCCAACACAATCACAATCACAATCACAATGATCCAACACAATCACAATCACAATCACAATGATCCAACACAATCACAATCACAATCACAATGATCCAACACAATCACAATCACAATCACAATGATCCAACACAATCACAATCACAATCACAATGATCCAACACAATCACAATCACAATCACAATGATCCAACACAATCACAATCACAATCACAATGATCCAACACAAACACAATCACAATCACAATCACAATCACAATCACAATCACAATCACAATCACAATCACAATCACAATCACAATCACAATCACAATCACAATCACAATCACAATCACAATCACAATCACAATCACAATGATCCAACCAGCACAGTGTGAGGGAGAGGGGTATATATACACAGGGAGCACCAGGTGACACAAGTGAAGCTAATTACCAACAGGTGAGTGTGATCACACAGATAACCCCACAAAGACAACTGGAAAAGGAAACAGACAGACATGACAAATATAATCCAATCTAATCTAATCTAATCTGTTCTAACCCACTCCAATATAATCTATTCCAATCCAGTTGAAAAAAATATATAAACACAAGTCAATACGATCCGATCTAATCTAATCTAATCTAATCTAATCTAATCTAATCTAATCTAATCTAATATTAGTAATGTTTTTTAAATTATTAGTTAATTTGTGCCGTTTTATTTTTGCAAAAACAACATATTTTTGTTTAATTTCTCTAATCACTTTCAAAACTCATTCATTTGAACATAGCGATTAGCAACTTAGCTGTTAGCGGATCTGGAAATGCTAATAAAGGTGATATCCGAGTATTACAGGAAGCCAGTCAGGGTCACGGGGGTCAAACCTAGCAGTCCAGCTGTAGACACAACCATTCACACTCACACACACACACACACAAATCTACCTGATGAAATCTCAACATCAAATATTGTTTTTTGTTTTTTTTCATAGTTCCCATCATCCCGACGTTCCTTTATGCCATGAAACATCCCGGCCCACAGCTCCCGACCGTCGGCTCCTCTCCGGCCCCTCATGGCCCACCGCAGCAGGGCATGTCACCCTCACGGTCCCCGCCCCTCGGATCAAATCTCCAGACCTCTCCGTCCTCCCGGCTCACTCAAGGCAGCAGTAGTGCTGCGGTCCTGACTCACCCCTCAACTACCCTCCCGTCGCTGATTTCCCTGTTCGACAACACGACCTTTGGGCCGGGCTCCGACCCAGACCTGCTGGTCAACGACACCATCAACACCACAGTAGGTGGCACCGAAGCTTCACTGAACAATGATCAACATTTTATTACTATTCACCTCCGATCCATGTTTCCTCTCTTCTCTCCTTCCCCCGTCTCCCCCGTCTCCCCCCTCTGCAGGAGTCCTCGTGCCTGCAGGACAGTGTCTTCCTGGAGGAGGAGAACGTTCACGTCGGTTTGTTGTTCGCCTCTAAAGCTGTGGTTCAGCTGCTGGTCAACCCCTTCGTTGGTCCTCTGACCAACAGGTGAGTTAGGGTCCAGTTAACTAGCCTGACCACAGTGACCCCTGTTGGTCATTGACACACAACAGTGACCCCTGTTGGTCATTGACACACAACAGCGACCTTAGAGCCTTGTTGTTTACAAACAGAAACATTTAAGGTTTGAAAGGATGAAGAGTTAAAAAGAGGGGAACTGACTCTCTCTCTCGCTCTTTCTCTCTCTTTTGCCCTTTATCTCCCTCTCTTTCTATCCTTCTCTCATTTTCTTTCTCTCCCTCTCTCTCCCTTGCTCTCTCTCTCTTTCTCTCTCTCTTTCTCTCCCTCCCTCTCTCTTTTTTCTCTTTCTCCCACTCTGTCTCTCTTTCTCCCACTCTCTCTCTCTGTCTCCCTCTCTCTCCCTCTTTCTTTCTCTTCCCCTTTCTCTTTCTTTCTCTTTCTTTCTCTCTCTCCCTCTCTCTCCCTCTCTCTTTTTCTCTCTCCCCCTCTCTCCCCATCTCACTCTCTCTTTTTTTTCTCTACTTCTCTCTCTTTCTTTCTCCCTCTCTTCTTTTCTCTCTCTCTCCCTCTCTCTTTCTCTGTCTCCTTCCCTCTCTCTCTTTCTCTCTCTCTCTCTCTGTCTCCCTCT